ATAGAAAAAAGAACCAGAGAAATTCTGGATCCCTTTCTGGTCATCCAGATCTAGATCGAGATACACCAAGCCAAATACCACACCGATCAACAGTGCAGCGCACAAGTGCCACCAGAAGACGAAACCATAGCGAGAGAGGCGAACAAAGTGTCGCGTCCATAGTAGCCACAACTGACCGCAACAATTCATGTGGTAATACCGGTTTTTCTGGTCGTAGTCGTCCACAACGCTGTGTTCTTTGGCAGCAGCAGCGTTGGCCTTGTTCTCAGCGTATACCGAGGCATTACGTTCACTCCACTCACGCTTCAATGTCTCAACGCGAGCCACTCCAACGTCGTCAGACTCGCGGTCTCCGACGACCATTTGAAACATGAAATAGTCCATCGGACTCGTGTATTCTGGACAGTGATACCCGATGGTCGAGAAGTAGGCAACAGCGTCTGAAGCCTTGCCATCGTACACACACGAGGCATCAGCAACAAGGTACAGCACGTCAAAAAGACCGTAGAAGTGCGAAGACGAATGATGCAGTGTCACCGCCACAGTCAGCCCTTTGTCAAATGCAAGCCAGCGTAGTTTAGCCACGATTCTCTCGGCGCTGAACGTGTCTAGGCCATCGGTAGGCTCCTCTACCAGCAAGATCGACGGGTTGGTTAGTAGAGCGGTAGCAAGAGCCAACAGCTTCCGCTCTCCACGCGTAATTCCACTAAGAGAAATGCCACCACCGATCAGCTTGTCGCGACATTCAGAGAGCTCCAAGTCGTCGATAACTTGGTCCACACGAGCCAAACACATCTCATTTGTATGGGTACGACGCATGCGAAGTTGTGCTTGAAAGACCAGGTGTTCGTACACTGTTAACGTCTCGTAGAAGAGATCTTCACGCGGGATGTACGAGATGTAGCGGTTCATCTGGCTGTTCCACTCACGGCCGTTTACAGTCACGTTGCCGGCCATAGCGTCCTCGAATCCAGCCAGACACGAGAGAAGAGCGAGACTCTCATCCTTGGACGGGCCGGTAATGACCAGAAACTCGCCAGCGTTCACTGACCCACTCACGTTGTTCAGCAAGGCCTCATTGTAGCCATCCGATGGCTGGTTGTTCCTCCAGTTCTTGCGGTTCAAGCTCAAGTTGTTCCAAGCCAGCGAACACGGCTCGACAGTTGATAGTTCTTCGTCATTTAGAGTACGACCACCGGAACGAGGACTCCTGACCTCGGCGTAGTGTTCGTCCAGCTCAACATCAGGACCGTCGGTAAGCTCCGTAGTGCGACGTTCACTCTCACGAACGAGCTTTCCACTCGCCTCCACAGAACTCGAGACGTTCGGAGTACTATCTGAGGGAATACTCCT